GAAAAGTTATTATTATTATTATTATTATTATTAATATTATATTTAAACAACATGATCTTATGTGTATTTGAATGTATTTTAAATCTGGTTCTACCACATGCACATTTACTTACATTTAAACGTGAAACATCTGCATATGAACAACTCTTTAACTGTATAGATGTACAAATGTTTACAAATACTTATTTAATATGAATATTCAATTAATGGACATTTATCATAGGTGACTCAATTGTATGTTGTACAACTGCTTCTTACATTTCAGCATGTATTAAAACATACATTTATTTATTTATTTAATGTGTAAATGTTACATACGAGTATCTACATATAAACATTGAGGATAGTCTGATTTGTAAACCAGAGTAATGGTTCATGAGAACATTTATGAAAAGCGATGAATTAATACTAAATAAATTTAAAGAAATGTTTATGTATGAAGTGAATTGGTACACATTTTTATGTAATGTATTTGAAAACAATTTAGAAACACTTACTATTAATGTATTAAAAATGTAGACTTGTATTTATAAACTATGAATTAACTATAAACTAATAGCTTGCAGATTACTGTAAGTACTTTATTACAATATACATATTATTATTATTGTTATTATTATTATTATTATTATTGCTGATTCTGTCCACCCAAGGTCCATCGGTGGGTGAATTATGAGTCTATGCTGAAGGAGTGTCTGGTGGGGAGGATGGCAGTGAAGCCCAACCCTGCTCTTCAAGGTTCTGTCAGCTCTCTTGGCAATAGAAAATAATTCAGTGAAATTCATTCATTTTGTGATAATATACAGAGTTCTGGCATGAAACTCTAGATGGCGCAGTCCGATAGGTCTAACTCAATCTGACCTAATGACACTGCTTAACATTCAAATATATGACTAGTGCTTGCCGTAGCAGTTGCAGCTTGCTTCAGAAACCCTCCACCTTCCCCAGCTCCACCTGTATAGACCTGCTATGAGGTGATTCATGTACGCTATATGGCGGTTATTTCATGTATGTTATATTTGCAGCAGCAGTATTTCTTACATGCTCACAGCAGCATGTTGTGGATGTATTGGCAGTAGCAAGTCTCGGTACTTGCTCTGCCGCAGCAGCAGCAGCGTAGCAGATCTATTCCGCCAAGACCAAATACATTAACATTGTCATGTACATTACCATGCCAATCCCTCCGAGAGTTGTCATGACAGAAATATAATTATTCTAATACAAACATACTGCCTTACGGCCTGCACATCAAGTTTTTGCTTGAAATAATCAATAGTTGAAATATTTTCTCTACTAACTAACATACTGTTAACAGAATTAAATATTCCTATCGATTCAGAAACAAACCCGAAATAAGATTTTTGATGTTGTTTTAGTTTTTGTTTTAATGCCTCGTTACATGGTTCTTTGGTTCCTGCAGCTCAGACAGAGAAGACTGAAAGCACTCACATGAACGGTATGACATCAAAGCCATAGTTCAGCTATGCAGATTTCTAGTTGTAAATGCTGAGTATGCTATTACTTATTGTATTATTACACCCAGTAATTCTGTGTGTGGTACTCTTCATACCAGGTTTGCCTGTTTCTTCACGTTTAAGACAGGAGCCTTTACCTACTCCTCTCCCTGCCAAAGATCATCGCCCTCGGTATGTTTTTTCCTTATGTCATGATTAAAATATATTTATACTGAGTGACTCATTTCTTGGTACAGTATCAGCTGGTCTGTGTTTTATTCAGACTTTTTATTCTGTTATGCAGCATTTAGGGCTAGTTGTGGTGAATAATGAATAATGATCTTGGCTGGTATTGTTGAGGTTACTTGTTTGATCCCAGGTAGATTCATTCGGTGAATCAGAGAGTTATTTTAACCACTCAGACAGTTTACTAACAGGGCTCTAAAAATACTAGTATTTTATGAAAAACAAAATAATTACGTTATATTAAAACGAATGAATAAAGAAATATTTAAGCTAGGAAAAAATAAAATAAACTTGTCAGCCTCACCTAATTGAAGCCATACTGGCTGATTCTTGATATATTTTTTCTTCATGTTTAGGTATGATTGGTTCCAGACAGATGGAACTGTCAATATTGTTATTCACACCAAGCGAAAGGTTGGTGTCAACTCATTTTCCTAAAATGCAGTGGTTATCTTGTTGTCTTTTCTCAAATATAAAGTAAGAAGAAGAAAAGGAATTGTTAAAAATTAAATTAAAACATTTTTTTTTCCCCTTACCAGATTCCCAGCGCCGGCTGTGCAGTGGTGGATCTACAGGATGATATTCTTCAGGTGGAGATGCTCTTAGGGAAGATGTCGTACCTTCTCTACTGGCGTGGGTCTTTCTGCACTTCTCCAGCCACTGAGACATGAACATTGTTGTGTATTGCTCTATATCTGTTATAACGTGCTATAATAGTTGATAACACTGTTCCTTTTTTAGGCCTGTCCAGTGAAGTTCAAGGACGTGTGGATGGTGAGTAGTATGTTCAGTTAGACATGCTTTTTGTGTTAAATGTAGAAATATTTTGAAAATGATCTGTACAAAATGTACTGTGGCTGTACTATGGTACAGTGATGATATAAACTTATATTATTGTGATCCATTGTGGTGTAGTGTACAGTACCTTGCTACTGACTCATTACAATTTTATGTTATTATGGCATTTACATGGTACTACCATTTAAACTATATCCTTATTGGAAATTATCAGTCATTTATTTTTCTCATTCTAAAGAAGTGTTTCTCTGTTGTCCTGTGCTTATAGTTCAGACAGCCCACTCTGTAGGAAAAGTTCAGGTGTGTCTCCACAAATCTGTCAAAGATAAGTGGACGAAAGTGGGGCAACCACTTGAACACCATGACACATTTATTCAGTGTAAAGATCGTGGTGAGTAACAAACCTATGATCTCAATTTTCTGACTAATATCTAAATTTCAGAGAATTTGCTGTTTAATTTTGTAAAGATATAGAGGAACATGTTTGAGATTAAATTTTTTACATGAAGTAAAGGGGTACCACAAGGCTCTGTGTTGGGCTCTTATTATACATTTTTTTTAAATATATATATAATTAGTTTTATATATACTGTCGCGGGGTGAATGAGAACACAGACTCGGTACTGATCGAAAGAGACCCGGAGGGTGATGAGCTGGGAGAGGACTGCCCCTAAACCGGTGCCGGATGCGTCCGTATATAGGGTGAAGGGGCAGCCGGAGTCTGGGGCATGCAGGACTGGGGAGGACGTCAGGGCAGTCTTGAGGTCGGCCTCGGCTTCGGCTTCGGTCTCGGGAGTCCAGTCTATCCTCTCCGGCTGCCCCTTCCTGGTAAGGTCTGACAGGGAGCAGGCTATAGAGGAGAAGTTAGGAATGAAACATCGGTAGTAGCCCGCCAACCCCAAAAATGCCCGTACCTGCGTCTTGTTGACGGGACGTGGGAACTTCTTTACCGCCTCGACCTTCTTTTCCTGGGGCATGATGAGCCCTCTTCCAATTTTGTACCCCAGGTATTTTGCTTCGGTGAGGCCGAGGTGGCACTTCTTGGGGTTGGCAGTCAGGCCAGCCCGCCGGAGCTCTGTCAACGTTCCACTACTGTGTAGGGTCCCTGCCAGGTCGCTAGGAACTTACACGCAGCTGTCAGGACCAGAACCACCACACGATCGCCCGGCTGGAACTCCCGGGCTTGGGCGGGCCGGTCGTACAGACGTTGCTGGGCGCGCTGGGCCGTCACGAGGTGTTCTTTAACCAGGGGCATGACTCTGTCAATCCTTTCTCTCATTTCCCGCACGTGCTCGACGAGGCTACGAAGGGGGGCTGGTTGGTTCTCCCATGCTTCCCGCGCCACGTCTGACGGGTAGTGGAATGAGCGGGCTGGGGGGAGGACGGCACGGAGACGTCTGCTGGCAGGTGGGACAGCTACGGCAGAACCGTTTCACTTCCGCCTCTGCGCTGGATGGTATTGTCGGCTCCTAGGTGTCCCGCCATTGGGTGGCCGTGTGCCAGCTCCATGACTGTCTCCGTCTTGGTGGTAGGCACGACCAGGAGGAATTTGTCCTCCCCCCGCCTGTGGGCGACACAGTACTGCCTGGTCGCGGTGCACCTTCGAGCGGACGCCGCTCCATCACTCTGCGGGGCGCCAGGCCCGCTCTCTCCCCGCCTCGCGGGCGTTCGTTGCCGCCGCCAGCTCGACTGCCTCTACCAGGCTGTGGATGTCCTGGGGATTTCGCATACTGACCGGGCGCCTCAGAGGGCGGGGTCAACCGGACGAGGCATTGGTGCGCTTTGACCGGCGCTTTCGGGAGGGGCAGGCGCCCCGCCACGCTGGCCTGCAGCTGTTCCGAGACCCGGTCAGTATATTCCTGCCGGGCTGTCAGTCGCTCGGTAAACTGCTGCTGGTGGGCCGAGAGCTCCGTTAGGCGGCGGATGACCTCTTCCCTATGTCCGGGGGAAGAGAGCGGTTCTGGCGGTACCAGTCTGTGTCTCAATTCACCTGTTCTACCCGCATTCTCCACCATATGTCACGGGGTGAATGAGAATACAGACTCGGTACTGATCGAAAGAGCCCCGGAGGGTGATTTATTGCCCACACACTGATCACACGTGCTCTGGTGAATGGTGCTCGGTGCCCGTCTCAGCGTGGTGCTCGTGGGGTGAAGTGCCGTGGTGCAGATCCCTCTCCCAGGGTGCCTTCGGAGTCTGTGAACAAGGAGAAACAAGCATTAATGTCGCCTGGAGCTCCGGAGAGCTCCGTTAGGCGGCGGATGACCTCTTCCATATGTCCGGGGGAAGAGAGCGGTTTCTCCTAGAAGAAGCACAGAGATCGTTATAGCAACCTGGCGGTACCAGTCTGTGTCTCAATTCACCTGTTCTACCCGCATTCTCCACCATATGTCACGGGGTGAATGAGAATACAGACTCGGTACTGATCGAAAGAGCCCCGGAGGGTGATTTATTGCCCACACACTGATCACACGTGCTCTGGTGAATGGTGCTCGGTGCCCGTCTCAGCGTGGTGCTCGTGGGGTGAAGTGCCGTGGTGCAGATCCCTCTCCCAGGGTGCCTTCGGAGTCTGTGAACAAGGAGAAACAAGCATTAATGTCGCCTGGAGCTCCGGGGTGCCTTCCCGCTGGTGTCCCTTCTCCTGGCTTTTAAGGCCAGCGGGAACGAGCTTCAGGTGCGCCACTCATCACACACAGGTGTTGTGCGTCGGTGATCAGTGTGGCAGCGGCGTTTCCAGGGCGACGCTAATCTGGACTCGGGATACTCGCCACAATACATATATAGAATAATTTTAGACGCCATTATTCCTAAAGCAAATTCAGATTTGTGTGGTGATGTTTTACTGTTATGCTTCTACATTAAATTTTGTCTTGTGTTTATTTCTGTTGATTTTCCAATATTTCATACATTCAGAATTGGTTCTAAATATAGAGGGGAAAAAAAGGTTTTCACCATTAAAGGTGTTCATATTTAATCAAATATACATGACTGCTTAAAATAGAAGCATATATTATATGCATCAGTGCCTAAAACAAGGACTGAGTTTGGAGAGTTATTTGTATCCGCTGCCCCTTGAACACACTTAAACTCTAAATTTACAAACCTTATTACCATTGAACATTTCTAGACCAGATGGTTTCGCTGATACCAATATTTTAATATATTGCTAGTTAGTGCATTTCCCGACTTAATTTCCTCCTTATTGCATGTATTTTTCATATTTCTATCATTGTATATGAAATTTGTTATTGTTGTAATATTTTTGGCTTCTAGGTCTCTGAAAGAAATATCTTGGTAAAACATACATGAATACTTATAGTAATGTTTAATAACATTTGTTTCATCACAGAGCTCTTCTACAGGGAATGCGTGTTGGTTTCGAAAACAGACATCACACATGACACGCAGGTCTTGCGATTACAACTTCCATCAGGGTCACATATGCAAGTTCCTGTGGGGAGACACGTCTACCTCAAAACCTCTCTCCAGGGTAATGTGTCACTTTATGTCACACAGCACATGCTCTGCTAAAGATAACCGATGGAAGGTGACGGATTTATGGAGTGTTCAGCAGGCTGCTTTTTTGTGTTTGGTGAGCAGGTACAGATGTTGTGAAACCTTACACACCAGTGGATCAAAAGCTAATACCTCCCTCACAATGTAGTGCTGAAATGGGCTCAGACTTACATCTCATGATAAAGATCTGTCCTGATGGATTGTTGACCTCACATCTCGCCAACCTCCCTATTGGTTTGTAACTTCCCATATCTATTTTTTTTTAAAGAAGGAAATAGTATTACGTGATTTTTCACCATGCAATTCATGAGCTGGAATTTGAACCCCACCCTTGTCAGTAAACCTGTTTGTAAGATCTCTAAAACTATAATTACACTTAAGGTTATATGGATTTCTTTTGAATTTTAGTTCACTTTATTTCTCAACTTTTTTTTTTTTTTTTTAATTCAAACTCAAATGTTAATGGTAGTCCCTGTTTGGTATCTCCGTTCAAATTTGAATTGAATTAAAGCTAAAAAGCTTTCTCTGCTCATGGCTCACAACCCTGTTTTGCACATACAGAAAGAACAAAAGTGCAAATAAATAATAGTAATTAATAGTAAAAAATAGGGATGCACGATATTGGATTTTTGCCGATATGCCGATATTTTTCAACTAATTTTGGCCGATAGCCGATACAGATATATTTCCTTTTGTTTGGAAAAAAAAAACACCAAGTCTCTCCTGTGCAGAAATTATAAGCAATTTTTTTATTTTTATTTATTTTTTGGTTAGTTTTTAATAAGAACGTATTTGTTAGAATTAAATAAACAACAATTAAGTTATTTTATAATGGCAGTACGTTGAAGATTTGAAAATAACTAAATAAACTATTCAATTGCTGCATTTTATTTTATTTTTTCTCTCTCAGAAAGATGCAGTGGTAACCTTAACATTTTATTTTGAGATTTAATATTTGTAAATGGTCTAAAGCAAGAGTTGTAAAAATTCTGGAAATCTTTTAGAGCTCATAATTTGTTTCAAAATATAACATATTACACATCAATGAATAATTCAGTAAATATAAAATTATTTAAGTGACATGTTTGTGTGTTGTTTTTTTTTGTTGTTGTTCATGTAAGCTATAGCTTCTGAACTTTAAATCAAAACATACTCATGATTTTATGGCATCAATTACTGCTTTATTTAATCAGAAACACGGTCTAAATAGTATATGTGTATTTTTCTTTCATTTTATTAGAAGTAGGCCAACAGCACCCCCTACGGAATTAAAACTCCTTACTGAGCGGGCATTAGGACCCGGGGGAGGCTGCCGCTGCAAGTGCTATTACTGTTTACTCTATCATACACCGAACTCGTCATTCTGTACATGCATATTCTCAGTTTAAATGCAGCAATCCAAAACAGTGAATCTAATCATCATTCAGGCAAAACTTTGCTTCAAGAATGAGCCACACTGCTGAAGTGATGTAATCGCTAGCACACCCTGAGCACATGTGAGTTAATGCATTCCTCTTATCGGCAAGACATATCGGCATAATTTTTCATATCGGGCCGATGCCAATATTTACATTTAAAGCCATTATTGGCTGATTCTGATATTGGTCCGATAATATTGTGCATCCCTAGTAAAAAACAAATAGTAAGTTTCAGTTTGAAAATAACCATGAAAACTGGAATAGCATTGAATCACGAACAAACCTTACTAACTGCTGTCATGTTTCTGGTCTGTTCCAGGATCCTCTCTGTCAGTAGGCGGTCCGGAGGGATCCTTCACTATGCGTGTTCTGCGTGATGTCACTCATCTCTACATGTTAGCGGCCGGCACGGGTTTCACACCCATGGCTCGTCTCATACGGCTGGCTCTTCAGGACCTCACATCAATCAGGTCTGCTCTGTACAAATCTGAAAAAACGCAACAAACAACATGCACCATTTAAGTCACCAATCGAAAAGCAAATGTTGCAATCACTTTTACTGGTCTCAAGGTGGTTTTAATCAATGCATAATGCAGGGATGCACAATATTATCGGAACATTATTGGAAACGGCCGATAATGGCTTAAAATGTAATTATCAGCATCAGCCCGATATGAAAAATTATGCCAATATGCCTTGCAGAAAAGACAAATAACTCAAATGTGCTCAAGTGTGTGTTAGCGCTAAGTAATACTAGGAAATAGTATTACATGATTTTTCACCATGCAATTCATGAGCTGGAATTTGAACCCCACCCTTGTCAGTAAACCTGTTTGTAAGATCTCTAAAACTACAATTACTTTTAAGGTTATATGGATTTCTTTTTAATTTTAGTTCACTTTAATACTCAATTTTTTTTTTTTTCATTCAAACTCAAATGTTAATGGTAGTCCCCGTTTGGTATCTCCGTTCAAATTTGAATTGAATTAAAGCTAAAAAGCTTTCTCAGCTCATGGCTCACAACCCTGTTTTGCACATACAGAAAGAACAAAAGTGCAAATAAATAATAATAATTAATAGTAAAAAAATAGGGATGCACGATATTGGATTTTTGCCGATATGCCGATATTTTTCAACTCATTTTGGCCGATAGCCGATGCCGTTACTGATAAATTTCCTTTTGTTTGGGTAAAAAACACCAAGTCTCTCCTGTGCAGAAATTATAAGCATTTTTTTTTTTTTTAATTTTGGTTAGTTTTTAATAAGAACATATTTGTTAGAATTAAATAAACAACAATTAAGTTATTTTATAATGACAGCACGTTGAAGATTTGAAAATATATAAATAAACTATTCAATCGCTGCATTTTTATTTTATTTTTTTTCAGAAAGATGCAGTGGTAACCTTAACATTTTATTTTAATATTTAACATTTGTAAATGGTCTAAAGCAAGAGTTGAAAAAATTCTGGAAATCTTTTAGAGCTCATAATTTGTTTCAAAATATAACGTATTACACATTAATGAATAAATCAGTAAATATAAAATTATTTAAGTGACATGTTTGTGTGTTTTTTTGTTGTTGTTGTTCATGTAAGCTATAGCTTCTCTATAGAGAGCACTTTTACTGGTCTCAAGGTGGTTTTAATCAATGCATAAAGCAAGGATGCACAATATTATCGGAACATTATTGGAAACGGCCGATAATGGCTTAAAATGTAATTATCGGCATCAGCCCGATATGAAAAATTATGCCGATATGCCTTGCCGAAAAGACAAATAACTCAAATGTGCTCAGGGTGTGTTAGCGCTAAGATCACGTCAGCAGTGTGGTCATTCTTGAAGCTACATTTTGCCTGAATAGTGATTAGATTCACTGTTTTGGATTGCCGTATTTAATCTGAGAATGCGCATACAGAATGACACATCTGGTTTGTAATAAGACACTTAGGGGGTATTGTTGGCCTGTTTGTAATAAAATTAAAGTAAAATACTCAAATAACATTAAGATTGTGTTTCTGATTAAATGAAGCAGTAACTGGTGTCATAACATCATGAGTATGTTTTGATTTAAAGGTCAGAATGTTTCATTATTGTGTAATATGTTTCGTTTTTGTTTTTTTCAAACAGATAATGAAAACTTAAATACAAGGAGCTGTAAAATATTTTTTTTTACAACTTTTTGCTTTAGACCATCTACAAATGTTAAATCTTCAAATAAAATGTTATGGTTACCACTGTATCTGTGTGGAAAAAAAAATGCAGCGATTGATTTATAGTTGTTTCTATAAATAACTTCATTATTGTAAGTAATTCTAACAAGTTTAACTACATTTTTTTTTACTAACCAAAATTTAAAAAAAAAGGTTATAATCTCTGCACAGGAGAGACTGAGTGTTGTTTCCCAACAAAAAGATATATATCGGCAAAAATGAGTTGAACAATATCGGCATATCGGATATCGGCAAAAATCAAATATTGTTGATCCCTGGTATAAAGTCAGTTACCCTGGTGTCCTAGCAGCATAACCTTAGTTGTAGTTCATCACGTTAAAGTCACCATGAAATCTGAGCAGGTAGTTGTCTGCCAAGTCATATGATCTAAAAGCCACACTGTACTGATAAGTCCAGTGTTAATCATGAGAGGTTTAGTTTACTCACAGTTTACTCTCAGATTCACCAGGTGCAAGTTGTGAGGTGCGGCTCAGACATACTCTCTGTACTCGGTTACAAAGCTTTTAAAGCCATTGTTGGTTGTTTAAAAGATCTGATGGAGGAACTCATACCGCATTTGGACTCATTCATTTAATCACATACTGTCAGTTGTGATAAAGCTTCCCGATGTTATGGACATTGCCATCTTTGATACCGTCACTACGGTTACCTGAGTATGGTTGTGACTTCAATTGTTCGTTCATACAGATTTGTATTAAAGCTGCTATTTTAATCTGCTGAATGAAGAAAACTTTGAAGACACCTACAATCAAATGCAGCTGTCACTGCCAAGCAGTGTTAAAGCAGCCATCATGGGCATTTGTATTACTGATAGATGCCTTTTAATTCTTGGGAATTTATGTATGTATTTATTTAAATTTTTACTTGTAAAGTAAAATGGAATAAATTGGAATACAATGGTTGGTTGAAGATTATTGATAGACGTTACAGTTATGTTTTTGGTAAGTTAACTAAGATTAACCAGATAATAATTGATAGATTAACTGGAAAATACTTATTAAATTAGTTGACTAATCAAAACGATACCAACAACAATAATCATTTTTTTTGGTTGTCTTTTCAGAAAAACCAAGCTGATGTTCTTTAACCGTCAAGAGAGGGACATACTTTGGTGCTCTCAGCTGGATGAACTTTGTTCAAAAGAGGAAAGGTATCATTTATCGCATTATATATCTGACTGTTCGTTCTATCAGGAGTGTCACATCTTTGAATTACAGTACAGTGATCTCAGTGGGAATCCATGCAGTATTTAGTTAGTTAGCTAACTGCCTCACTGTCTACTGTGAAGTATTTATATAGTGCTTTATACAATACAAATTGTTTCAAAGTAGCTTAAAGGCACAATATGTAATTTTTCGCCACTAGAGGGCGCGCATTCAAAACAAACAGAGAATCAAAGGCGTAGTTTGATGAATCATGGGAGTTGTGGTCTTCATCCCCACAGCCGATGCAATCCGACGGGACTCGGGCAGAGGGCAGA